AGCTTTCTTTTGATTAGTGTTTGTATGGTATCTTTCTCCATTGTTTTGTCTCTTCCTATCTAAATCTTTAGTGGACTTTTTTTTTTAATTAATTTACTTATTTTTAAATTTTTTTTATTGTGAAATTTTTGTTGTACATTATTGTTTATCGGTCACCATATAAGTGCATCCCTCCACCCCTTGTGCCCACCCCCCTCCCCCCTAGCCCCTGGTAACCACCAAACAGTTCTATCTGTGCATGTGTTGGTTTATCTTCCACATATGAGTAAAATCATGCCCTGTTTGTCTTTCTCTTTCTGGCTTATTTCACTCAACATAATACCCTCCAGGTCCATCCATGTTGTTGAAAATGGGACGATTTTGTCTTTCTTTATGGCTGAGTAGTATTCCATGGTACATGTATACCACATCTTCTTTATCCATTCATCAGTCAAGGGACACTTGGGTTGCTTCCATGTCTTGGCTATAGTGAATGACGCTGCGATGAACATAGGGGTGCGTAAGCCTCTTTGGATTGTTGATTTCAGGTTCGTTGGGTAGATACCCAGTAGTGGGATAGCTGGATCATAAGGTATTTCTATTTATAATTTTTTGAGGAATCTCCATACTGTTTTCCACAGAGGCTGCACCAGTTTGCATTCCCACCAGCAGTGGATTAGGGTTCCCATTTCTCCAAAGCCTCTCCAGCATTTGTTGCTTTTTGTCTTGGTGATTATAGCCATTCTAACTTGTGTAAGCTGATATCTTAGTGTGGTTTTGATTTGAGTTTCCCTGATGACTAGTGATGTTGAGCATCTTTTCATGTGCCTGTTGGCCATCTGTATATCTTCTTTGGAGAAGTGTCTGTTCATTTCCTCTGCCCATTTTTTGATTGAGTTGTTTGTTTTTTTGTTATTCAGTTGTGTGAGTTCTTTATATATTATGGAGATTAATCCCTTGTCAGATATACGGTTTGCAAATATTTTTTCCCAGCTGGTGGGTTCCCTATTCATTTTGATCCTGGTTTCCTTTGCCTTGTAGAAGCTCTTTAATCTGATGAAGTCCCACTTGTTTATTTTTTCTTTTGTTTCCTTTGTCTGAGTAGACATGGAATTCAAGAAGATCCCTTTATGGCTGATGGCAAGTAGTGTACTACCTATATTTTTCTCCAGGAGTTTTATAGTTTCAGGTCTCACCTTCAGGTCTTTGATCCATTTTGAGTTAATTTTTGTGTATGGTGAAAGAAGATGGTCACACATTCTCTGGTGTGAACTGAGCTTTTTATTATTATTCTTTTATCTACCCTATTGACTTACTTATACTTCTTTAAAATGATTTTTAGTGGTTGCCTTTGGGTTTCCAGTATACATTTTTAAATAATCCAAGTTTACCTTCTAATGATATTATACCACTTCTCATGTAGTATATGTATCTTATTATGGTATGTTCCTAATTCTTCCTTTAATTCTCGTTATACCTGTCACTGCATATGCTATTAATACCCAATACATTGTTACTTCTTTAAACAGTCATTTTTTAGAGCAGTTAAAAATATGAAAAAGAAAAGATTCTGTTTTTACCTTCATTTATTCTTCATTTCTTTGTGCAGATCCAAGCTTCTCATCTTTATCATATTCCTTCTGCCTGGAATTTCTTCTTTCTAAAATACTTCTTATAGGGTGAGTCTCCTGGCAATGAATTCTGTTTTTGTTTGTTGGGGAAGTCTTTATTTCTTCTTCACTTATGAAGGATATTTTCACTGGATATAAAATACTGGTTGGGCATTTTTTTTCTTTCAAGACTTTATAAAGTTGTCACTCTACTGTCTTCTTTCTTGCAAAGTTTCTGACAGGAAGTTTATTGTAATCCTTATCCTTGTTCCTCTGTATGTAATGTGTTTTCCTGTCTCTGACTGCCTTAAAGATTTTCTCTTTGCCCTTCAGCAATTTGAATGTGATATGCTCAGGGTATTTTTGGGTATTTGGGTATTTATCTGTTTGGTGTTTTTAGAGCTTCTTCTAGCTGTAATTTGGTGTCTTGTCATTATTTTTGGTAAGTTCTTAGCCATTGAAATATTTCTTCTGCTGCATTCTCTCTTCCTTCTCCTTCTGGTATTCTAAGTATGTGTATGTTACACTGTTTGATATTTTCCATGGTTCTTGGATGTTCTTTCCTATTTTCTTTTCCTACTCTTTTTTCTTCTTTACATTTCAGTTTGGGTAATTTCTATAAGCCTATCTTTGAGTTCACTGATTCTTTTCTCAGCTGTTTCAAGTCTACTAATAAGCTTGTCAAAAGCATTTGTTATTTTTGCTGTGTTTTTATTTCTAGCATTTCCACCTGATCCTTATGATTTCCATGTCTCTGAAAATTACCCATCTGATCTTACATGTTGTCTGCCTTTTCCATTAGAGCCTTTACCATATTAATCATGTTTTAAATTCCCTGTCTGATAGTTTCAAAATTTGTCATATCTGAGTCTAGTTCTGATAATTGTTTCATTTCTTCAAGCTGTGTTTTATAATTTATAAATTATAATTTATAATGCTTTATAACTTTTTGTTGAAAGCTAAACATGTTGTATAGGACAAGAAATACTGAGATAAATATCTGATATGCTTGGAGAAGACCTCAAATTTCCTTCTGCTAGAATTGGTGTTAATCTTTTAGGGGGAGTTGGGCTTTTTTTGAAGTTTCTTATTGCTCTGGTTACCAGAGTTGACATTTGTTGTTGCCCTGAGAACCAGAGACTTTAAATTTCCCTAGTGCCCCTTGTCTCCTAGTGTCCCTTATCTCACTGCTTGGCTTTGGATTTCCCCTTTGTGTTATTTCTCAGAGTGAATCTGTTTCTTGTAGCTATATTCCACTGTTATTGTTACTTCAGTCTTGTTAGTGTGATAGTGGAGGGTGAGTGGAATTCTGTGATGATCTCTTAAGCCTCAGATTTAGGCAGGTACTAGAACCTGGGTCTCAGAGGTGTGGACTTCACAAGACTTTCCATGCTACTTCTAGGGGTGGAGCTTCTCCCTTTCTTTCTTTTTCCCCAATTGTAGTGTCTAGATTAGGTTTTTTAAGCCCTCTTTTTAGCTAAAGTTTTTTTGTAAGTGATTTATTTATGCTTGATAGAGTATTTATTCTGCAGTTATTGGGTGCTGTGTTATATAAGTGTCTATTTAGGTCCAGTTTGTTAACACTGCTCTTCAAATCTACATTTTTATTTATTTACTTATTTTCCTTTTTGGGGTCATTTGTTCTGTCAAATACTGAGAGAGGTGTTAAAAATTTCCCCATTATGATTATGGATATTTTTCACTTCTTGTAATTCTGCTAAGTTTTGCTTTATTTATTTGGAGACAATGTTATTACATGCATACAAATTTTAAATTGCTATGCCTTCCTGATGAATTATACATTTAAGCCTGTGAATTATATCTCTGTTAATGCTTTTTTGCATTAAAGTCTACTTTGAATACTGTTAATATAGCTAGAGAAGCTTTCTCTTTGTTTATGTTTGTGTAATCTTTTCCATAATTTTTATTTTTAACTGTTCTCTATCTTAATATTTTAGGTGTGATTCTTGTAAACACCATAATAGTTGAATTTTGTTTTTTATTTAGTATATAATTTTTGTCTTTTGGTCCAATTGCATTTTATGTAATTACTGGAATATTTGGGTTTACGTTTTGCTGTGTTATACAGACGTCTTACATTTTGCTTTTTATATGTTCTACTTGTTCTGTGATCTTGCTTTCCCCCTTTTTTGCATTTATTAGGTATTTTAATTTTGTTTTTCCTTTCTGTTGGCTTAGTTGTTATACACTCTTTTACTATTTTTTAAATGTTTACCCTAGAGATTAAAACATCTATTTTCTTTCTTTTCTTTAAATATGTAAATTTATTTTTTCAATACATAATATAGTCATAAGATGTAAAATTCAAAAGATGCAAAAGGTTATATGGTAGAAAGTCTTCTCTCACAGCTGCCTGTTAGCCACCCAGTTCTCCAGATGACTCAGAAATGTGTATCTACCGGTACAGTCATCAGGGCTCTTTACTGGCCTCCAAATATACTGTGTTTACTGCTGTCTAGCTGGAAGTCTTGGCCCATATCTTCCCGCTTATTCATCTGTCTTCTCATCCTTCAAAGCTCAGTTAAAGCCTCTTTATCCTACATGAAGCTTTCCTGAACAAATCTAATCTTAACTGATCTTCTGATTTCTGATGGTAATTGCAGTTTTCCTCACACATTTTAGCACTTAATTATGTTGCTTTGTGCTGTTTTCCTTCAGTTTCAAGTATGTAAATCTTACTTTCCATCCTAAATTGTGAGTTCCTTGAGGGCAGGATAATATGCTTTATTTGGTCTATGTAATGCTAAGCACACAGCAGATGCCCCCAAAATACTTGTGTAATTAAATTGCCTCTCTGGTAATGGCTGTCAGAAGCTAGCTTTCCAGGAAAATTTCAGTTTTGGTGCATCTTGATTCTCAATTGTATATGGTAGATACAGTTTTTAAGAGTTGCTTTTGAATGCAAAATTGCAGACACAGATTTAGAAACTACTCGAGAAAATTTTTGCTTATAAAATTGTGTTATTTTTCATGCACTTTGCTTTTCATGTTGCTGTGAGAGTAGAATTAATGGAATATCCGTTCCTAATTCAGTATCATAGTGTAAAAATATTCATTGCTACTTAAGACATGTGCCACTTTCTTTTTTGAGTACTAAGTACTGTTTTCCAAAATATCTTCTTTCTTCATTACAATTTTTCTTGATTACATTTTTGAAAAATGGGAAAATACTGAAAAATACTAGAAAAAATTACTCTACTCCTACTAGTGAGAGAGAAACATTAACATTTTGTTGTGTATGTACTCAGTTTTTTTCTGTATAATATCTATATATATAATCTATATCTATCTATCTATCTATCTATCTATCTATCTATCTATCTATATATAATAGATGAGTTTCTGCCCTCTGAATTTCTCACTTTGTAATTCTTAATGTTTGCTTTTCAGCTTTTCCTAAAAGGATTCCTGTACACCTTAGAAGTGCTTGAGGAAGAGTGATAAAGGCAAGTATCTAACTCTTTGTAGTCAGTGAAATAACTTGGTTCATGGCCAAACCAAAATGTTTTGGTCACCATATCTATCAAAAAACCAAAAAATTGGAAAGAAAACTTAAAGGAAAAAAAGAAAAACAAAGATAATTCATATATCATTTGGAATGTTTTTTTAGAGCACTCTCCTAAACATTTGACAGATTTCAAAAACATAATTTTTTTTCTTATTTCTGATACTAATTCAGACCAACTTGTTTCTTGAATGTGAACTAATGGCATATTATGTCTTTGACAAAACTGTCATAGAAAAATTGTTTAAAATTCTGAGAATTTAACAGAGTTATCTGAAATGCCTCGTCTGTAGGTAGCTACCTTTTCCTCCTCTTTTTCCCACTTTTCACTCTCTCAGCCTGCCCCCTTTCTCCTGTGTCCTTTTGTTCCCTTTGCCCGTTCCCCACTTCCTCTGGTTTACTTATAAGAACTTTACTTTTCAGAGAAGCTGAATAAAAGAGAAGCCAACATTTCCTTCCTACGAAAGCACACTTAGCATTGCAGTTGAACTTGTTTGTGTCAAACCAGGAATCTCAATATAGTTATTTGTGAAATTTTCTAAACTGAGCAATAGTTATTATTCATTTGAATTTTACTGTCTTACAGAAGAAAGTAGGGGAATCCTAAAAAACTTTGACGTTATTGAATTCCTTTAGTGCTTGCATTCTTACTGTCAGCATTATAGAGTTAATTATTACAGCATTGCTGTGTTTGGTATTTTTGGCACAGCATTTGACCTTCCTCAATATTTGTCATATATTGAAAGGTGGCTTTAAAGATTTTTCTATTGGCCTACAGAAAATTTTAGCGAGCTTCAAAATATTGATTATATTTCTTGTCAATGCAATAGGTTCTTTGTTTTTCAAAATTTTTAACTTCATGTTTAAAACTCAAGTTAGGGGCCGGCCCGGTGGCGCAAGCAGTTAAATGTGCGAGCTCTGCTGCAGTGGCCCGGGGTTCGCCAGTTCGGATCCCAGGCGCACACTGATGCACTGCTTGTCAAGCCATGCTGTGGCGGCATCCCATATAAAGTAGAGGAAGATGGGCACGGATGTTAGCCCAGGGCCAGTCTTCCTCAGCA